CGTGGTTCTTTACCTCAACGCCTCGACATGTCTTGTTAATGACTGTTGGAGTAACCTTTTCCCTGATTTTATGGTTGAGCATCTTGATCGCCTTGGGACGGATTATTGCCTTCTCTCTTTACAAATGCAACCTTGTACGCCCAAGATTGTTCCTTCGGATTTTTGGTTTATTTTTTGCTTGACAGGATCACCTTAATTTTCATAATATTTTTCGAGAAATTTAGTTGTCTGCTTTCAATGTTTGTGATAACATTAATAGGCTCCATTCAAAGCTTGTTGCTTGGAATAATGATGTCTTTGGAATGATTAGCAAACGAAAGAGAATAATTCGGGCAAGATTACGTGGCACTGATCGCTTTCTTTCTGTGAGGGATTCTGATTATCTTTTGAAATTGGAAAAACAACAGAAGGATGATTTGGATAGTGTTTTGGAGCAAGAAGAAAGCCTTTGGTTTCAAAAATCTCGTGTAATTAGACTCTCTTTGGGGATCACAACACTAGATATTTTATGCTTGTGCGAAAAGTTGGCGTAAGAGAAATACAATCCTTAGTCTGTGACTTGATGATGGCTCGTGGTGTTCTGATCAACAAATACTTGGTAGAAAGGCCTCTGAATTTTTCATCTCTTTTCACTAGTTTCGGTGATGGTGGCCACTCTGATCATGTCCGAGATAATTTCTATCGGTTTTCGGATGATGCTCTTAAATTTCTATCTGTCTTTGTAACAAATGAAGAGATCAGACAAGTAATCTTTGATATGCATCTTTCGAAAGTTCCAAGGGTTGATAGCTTCCACGCTTTTTTCTATCAGCGTAATTGGGAAATTATAGGGCCTAGTGTGTTCCATTTGGTCCGTGACTATTTCACTAGAGTTGAAGTTCTCATGCAACTCAATCGTACTTTATTGGTGCTTATTCCTAAAGTTGAAATTCTAGATAACTTTGTACAATTTCGGCCTATCAATTTATGTACGGTATTATTCAAAACAATCGCGAAAGTGATGGTTAATCACCTCAAGCCTTTTTTACCGAAGTGGATTTCTGAAGATCATAAAAGTTTTGTTCCAAGATGGAATATCTCTAATAATATCATTTTTTCCAAGAGGTAATCCATTCGATGAAGCGAAAGATTAGGAAAGTTGGGTGGATGACCATTAAAATTGAACAATCGCGAAAGTGATGGTTAATCACCTCAAGCCTTTTTTAACCGAAGTGGATTCTGAAGATCATAAAAGTTTGTTCCAAGATGGAATATCTCTAATAATATCATTTTTTCCCAAGAGGTAATCCATTCGATGAAGCGAAAGATTAGGAAAGTTGGGTGGATGACCATTAAAATTGATCTAGAGAAGGCCTACGACAGACTTGAATGGGACTTCATTGATGATACTTTATTGCTGTGGGTTGCCCAAATGATATTCGTAATCTATTATGAGTTGTGTTACTTTAGAAATCATTTGGAATGGCCACAAGACGGGTTCTTTACAGCCTCGAGAGGAATACATTAAGGGGATCCTTTATACCCTTATTTGTTTGTTCTTTGCATGGGACGTTTGCGCAGGCTATTCAAATAGCCGTGATTAATGGAGAATGGAATCCAATTAGACTCTCTAAAGGAGGTCTGCTATTGTCACGTTCATTTTTTGCTGACGACTTGTACTTTTTGCTAAATCACTTTGATTCAACTTGATGTGACGCAACGAACTTTGCGTGATTATTGTGATCGGGTAATAAAGTGAGTCTACTAAGATCATTATATGTTTTTCCAAGAATGTCTCGGATTCTTTGCATGATGATATCAGCTCTGAATTTCAATTCACTCGAGTTGATCATCTCGGGTAAATATTTGGGAGTTCTCCTACTTCATAACCGAGTTACCCATTCCACTTACCTTATATTGTGCAAAAGTTCGTGATTGACTTTCGGGATGGAAGGCTCGTCACTTGTCTCTCGCGGGGCGTGTTGTTTTGGCCAAATCTGTCTTTGCGACAATTTCGTCTGTAATGCAAACATGTTATATTCTCAAAGGTACTTGTGAGGAGTTGGAGCGCCTCATTCTGGTTTCATTTGGGGAGGGACGGATGAAAAGCGCAAGGCTCATCTTGTTCAGTAGGATGAAGTTTGTAAACCTTTTTCCTCGGAGGTCTGGGAATGAAGAATTTAAGCCTCCAAAATGAAGCGTTCATCATGAAGGTCGCTTATCACCTTATTTCTGATACGGGTCGACTTTGGGTTCATATTTTGCGTGACAAATATAAAGTGAAAGAGCATGTCCAGTTAATTCGGTCGGGTTTGTTCAAGACTTTGGGAGGGTACGAGTATGATTTGGAATGAAGTTAGGGAGGGCATTGTGTGGACTCTCAGAAATGGAACAACCAATTTTTGGAATGATGATTGGCTAGGTGAGTTAGGCCCTCTTCGCAACCTGTTGCTGCCCAATGTCAACCCCTTGCTGATGTCATGGTTGCTATATGGTCGATAGTAACAGTGAATGGAATGGTTTCTAATTCAGGGTAAGCTTCCTGACTCGGTCCTCCTATCCCTTGCTGCAGTACGACCTCCCCTTGGTAATGGCAGCGTTGATAGACCGAGTTGGAAATGGGGAAAGAATAGACAATTCACAGTGGGGAGTGCTTATGCTCGAAGAGCAGGAGAAGATTCCATGGAAACCGCCCCTCGCTGGCTCACTTTAACCAAGTTTCGGGGTTTATCCGGAGTTTGTATATTGATCTGGCTCATTTGGAAAGGATCGCTCATGAAAAATGAAGAAAGAGTCCGTAGGCACATGAAGTCCGATGCGAGCTACAGCATTTGTCGTACTACTGTCGAAACTCCCTCGCACATCTCTAGAAAGTGTCTAGCTGCTTAATTGACTTGGAGCTCACTGATTCGCAATGTTCGCCTCAATGAATTTATGAACATGCCTTGTGATTCTTCGATAGAGCATAGCCTTTGCAAGCCTAATTACTTCCCATTGATGCAAATGATTGGGACATCTTTTTGGGTCCATCTTGTGGTGTATGTGGACTAGGCGAAACGGCTTAGTGTTCTACCCGATTTTATCGCGAATGATAGTATCTGTTGAAATATAGAAGAAATGCAAAGAAAGAACACGAGATAATACTTTCTTGATTGTATTCAATGATTCACTTTTACAGTATGCAGTACTGTGGTTTTATACTACAATGCTGCAACCTCCTGTAACAAATTAACAAATTGAAACAAATTCATAACAACCTAGTCTTCTAGAACTTCTCCACACCCAGCTGTGCATGAACTAAACGTGAGCCTAGCCATGCTACTACACATGCACATTCCTTTCACACTATTACACCCACGATCTGCATCATTCATTCTCTCAACATTCTCCCTGCTTCTCCCTCTCTTCAGAAAAACAAGCACACATTCAACTTGTCACGAAAGCTGCTGTGAGTGATTCACAGGATTAGCACTTAACGCAATCGCACTGGTGTTATCACACCATATTGTTGGCTGATTACATTGTGATACCTTCAAGTTAGTGAGCAGAGCATCAACCCATGCTACTTCAGCTGCTGTGTCAGCAAGGCTCTTGTATTCAGTTTCCATGGTTGATCGAGACACCACCTTCTGCTTTTTCGCACTCCAAGTCGCCAAACTTCCTCCAACAAAAACACAATAGCTTGACATTGACCGTCTATCATATGCACATCCTCCCCAATCGACATTTGAGAAAGGTGATATATGCAATTTACCTGGCACAAATCCCAGACCATAGTCCAATGTCCCACTTAAATAACGCAGGATGCGTTTAGCAACAAGCATATGTTGCTCTCTTGGTGCATCCATATATTGGGCGACTTTGTTCACACTAAAGGCAATGTCGGGTCTTGTATGACACACATAGAGAAACCCTCCTACTAGACTCCGAAATTCTCGTGCATCAGCCAATAATTGCCCTTCATCTTTCTTTAATTGCGAGGATGTAACCATAGGAGTAGAGGTACACGAGGCCTTAGCCATTTTTGCTTTCTCAAGTAATTCGAAAATATATTGCTTTTGACTAAGAACCAATAACTGATCACATCTCCTGACTTCAATGCCCAGGAAATAGTGTAGTTCCCCTAATTCCTTCAACGAAAACTGATCTTTTAACAACCTGACCACTTTTTCAATTTCACTCGTCGACTGCCCGGTTATTATTATGTCATCAACATACACTAAAATATATGTTGGCACTTCTCCTGCTGCCAGAACAAAAAGGGAAGTATCAGCTTTGGACTCCTCAAATCCAAGACGCACAAGACTGCTTTTTAGCTTTGCATACCAATTACGAGGTGCTTGTCGCAAACCATAGAGAGACTTATGCAGCTTGCACACTAACTTTACACCATCAGCTGTGTATTGTTCAAAACCAGGCGGCTGATGCATGAATACGTCTTCACTTAGCTCACTATGAAGAAATGCATTATTGACATCGATTTGCCTCAGTGACCATCCTCCAGATACAGCAAGGGCAAGTATAACGTTCAACGTAGCAAACCGCACCACTGGGCTAAAGGTCTCCTTGAAGTCTTGCCCAGGAACTTGAGAGTATCCCTTAGCAACCAACTTAGCCTTGTATCTTTGAACCGTTCCATCAGAGTTGTATTTAACCTTAAATAACCACTTACAGCCAACAGCAGATCGTTCTTCAGGTAACTGAACAAGTGTCCACGTGCCATTACTTTGAAGAGCAGTAAGTTCAGCATGTACTGCTTCTTTCCACTCCTTGGATTGTAGAGCTTCATTAATCGAAGCTGGCAGCACCTCACTTAACGAATTAGTAAAGACCTTGGGTTTAAAGACCCCACATTCACTTCTCGTCAACATAGGATGTTGATTAATAGTAACTTGATTCTGTTCAGCAGATGGTTGCAAGTCATCATCTGGTACACCTTCAGGTACTGCAGTGGATAACTGTGTGGACTCAGGACCACTCGACTCAGTCTCGTCATTATCCATATCTGAATTAATAGCATTTTAAGGAGTAGGGTCACCTTCACTCGGAATGCTGGAGTCAGCACCATCAACATGTGCATGTGAAGACTCATTAGAGCGCGTGGAGAGACCAGTTGTTGCTTGTACCCTCGCGTAGAGAGACCAGTTGTTGCTTGTACCCTCGTATGACAAGGAACAATATGTAAAGGAGCAGACTTACACACACTAGTATGAGGCACAGACTCAGGTTATTTCATATCTGCAAAGGGAAACACATGCTCGTCAAACTTAACATGTCTCGAGATATAGACGCGGCCATCCTGAGCGAGGCATTAAAATCCATTATGCTGCGAGTTGTACCCCAAGAAAACTCAAGGAGCTGACCTAGACATTAATTTATGTTGTTGAAAGGGTCTCAAGTGCGGGAAACAACGACACCCAAACACACGCAGCGTGGTGTAATCAGGTTTAGAGCCAAACAACTTTTCAAAAGGTGAAATATTACCTAAGACTTTGGTAGGCAGGCGATTAATTAAATGTGTTGCAGTAGCCACAGTATACGACCAAAATTGAAACGGGAGAGCAGCCTGAGCTAGCAACACGAGTGCCATTTCCACCAGGTGACGATGTTTTCGTTCAACCACCGTTTTTCTCAGAGGTGTGAGGGCATGCGACTCGATGTAAAATACCAGCACGAGTTAGCTCATATGACAATCGTCTGTACTCACCTCCCCAATCACTCTGAACTGACTTGATTGGCAGAGAAAATTGAGTGGTGACCATAGTTTGAAACAGTCGAAATACATCAAGAGCCTGAGCTTTGTTCTTTAGCATATACACCCATGTATGTCGTGTACATGCATCCACAAATAAAACATACTAGCGATAGCCACAGAAGGAAACATTGGCAGCACCCCAAAGATCGGTGAAAACAAGTTCAAATGGAACATTATACACAGTGACAGAAGAATTAAAAGGCAACTTGTGACTCTTTCCCATGCAACAAGCAACACAAGTGGTATTTAAATTCTTTGAAATGTTAACATCGATGGAATGACATACATCTTGCAACGTTTGAAATGTAGGGTGTCCTAATCGCCTATGCCAAAGGTCAAATATACTAGGACCAACATCATTAGACTTATTACACAAGAAGACTTTAGGTTCCATAGCAAAGTTGTACAACCTTTCATGTTGCTACCCTCGAAGCACCACTGCACCGGTTGTTTTATCTCGAACAAAGCATTCATCAGTATGAAACTCAATGAAAACATTGTTATCCCTAGCAAGCTTCAAAACCGAGAGCAGATGTTTCGTTATTTTGGGTACATGTAACAGATCACTTAACATTAAAGCTCGAGAGAAAGCAGTCAAAATAGTATTACCAATTGAATTTACCCCTAGTGACACACCATTACCTACTAGGAGATTACCTGGGCCAGAAAATTCAGAGGAATGCATCAACTTGGACGCGTCTGGGGTGACATGGTGAGTTGCCCCTGAATCAATGACCCAATGTTCACCTGCTACCAAGTTCGCTTGGGACTAACTCGAAGAGGGCTGCTGCTTAGTATTGCAACACGAGCATCCTGATGAGTCGAGTGTTGCACAATTAGCATATTGAAAGCATTTGTAGCTCGTGTTGAACTAGAATTGGCATTGACTCCAGGGAAGTCTCGATCGAAGCGATACCAACACCGATCGACAAAATGACCATTTCTACCACATAACGGGCATTGAATTCTTGTACGACCTCGACCACGCCTATTGGAACGACCAGCACGCGGTGCCTCAGACGAGCCAGCCGCTACTCTTCCTTGAGCAATATGAGCACTCATCGGAAGATCCTCAGGCTGGGCATCAAAACCAGCAATCTGCGTTTCTGCATCAACAAGCATCGAGCAAATCTGATCCAAAGATAGAGTTTCTCGTGTAATGGTAATTATAGCCATGAACGGCTGGTATTCTCGCGGAAGACCTTTAAGAATGCTCACGACATGTTCAACTTGAGACACCAGACTTCCACAAGATGCAAGCGAATCACAAATTTCCTTAATTCGAGTAAGGTAAACTCGCATAGAATCCTCACCTTTCTTCATAGACTGAAGCTTGAGTGGAGATTCATGATCGTGGTGGTGGAGCGATTAACAAAAAATTGCTGAACACCGTGTTCCACACTGCAGAGGCTGACTCGGCACCAACAAATTGTGGCAACAATGGAGCACTAATCGTGTATAAGAGCCAAGACGCAAGGGTACTGTCCTGAGCTATAAAATCTTCATAGGCTTCATTAGCAACAGTCTCGCCGTTTGCATCAACAACCGTATGTGGAGGAGGTGTTAACGAGCCATTCAACAACCTTTCAAGGCAGTGGCTACGAACTGTAAGTAGAACCTGCTGCTTCCATAGGAGAAAATTCATCTCATCAAGCACCACATTTACCCGTTTATTGGTAAACATACGGGCTGACGAAGAGGAGGAATCACCAAAGAGAGCCATCGCAACTCAACAGAGAGCTCCAGGACCGAAAGAGAATGATACCATGTTGAAATATAGCAGAAATGCAAAGAAAGAACATGAGATAATACTTTCTTGATTGTATTCAATGATTCACTTTTACAGTATGCAGTACTGTGGTTTTATACTACAATGTTGCAACCTCCTGTAACAAATTAACAAATTGAAACAAATTTATAATAGCCTAGTCTTCTAGAACTCTTCCTTCTAGAAGTCTTCCTTCTAGAACTCTTCCTTCTAGAAGTCTTCCTTCTAGAACTTCTTCACACCCAGCTATGCATGAACTAAACGTGAGCCTAGCCATGCTACTACACATGCACATTCCTTTCACACGAATTACACCACACGATCTGCATCATTCATTCTCTTAACAGTATCACTCTTCTCAGCAGGAGACTGACTTCCAAGGCAATTAATAGTTTGATGATGCGCTCAATCTTAAGGACCAACCGTGAGCAACCTAATCGAAGGTATATTCCTTGGACTCTTCCTCCTGTCGATTGGGTCGAGATTAATATCGATGGTGCTCGTAATAATATTAATGGATTGACCACTTGCGAGGTATTTTGATTTATCACTTGAAGAATTGGATTATGGATTATTCTAAAGCTATCGGTGTTTGTTTTATTCTTAATGCAGAACTTTAGGGAATTTATGAAGGATTATCCATGGCTTGGAACATGGGTATGCAGTGAGTTATTATCGAAACGGACAACAAAGAGGCTCTTACGGCTATTGGTTACGGTAGGGGTTTGTCTGTTTGAGCGGATATTCTTCGATGGTGTCGCACGTTGCCAATTGGTTCTCTAGACCTTGGGTTCTTCAATTCTTGTTTGCTCCCCTCAAAGTTAATAAAGCGGCTGATGCTATGGCTAGATTGGCATGGAATCAACCTTTTGATCTGTATATGTTCCACGATCCTCCCGAAGAAATCAAAGCAATTCTGGTCGCAGATTCTTTAGCTTCAAGAAGCCCCAGTGCCTTACAAATGAACGTTGAAGGAGAATGTTAGACTCTTTCTTTCTTTATTATTAAAAAAAAGGATGCACTAAAACTTATTGCCACATTGTCCAAAGTTCCTTTATTTATCAAGTATGAATAACCGAATCTACAATAGTGCTAAGAGGAAAGAAAAATTAACCATGATAAAACAATCTATGACTTGCTCTTCGATGTCTGATATCTTGAAACAAGGTGTGCCCTACAGTGAGCATCATCCGTTTGAACATACCATGGTCAACATATTTGTTTCCCACTCTGAACTCCATTGCCTTTTTCTTTAGCTTGGTTTTATATTTTCCCCAGGGTTATGCCTCGATTTAATCTTGTTTCTTCTTGGGTCTACACTATACACTGACTGTTTTCGACCTCAGAGCTCTCGACATGACCAACCTTGTCACGATGGACAACCATGAGACCTTCATTGTGTAACACCCCAGACCAGTACGACACACAGTCGACCGATTTAAGATGCTACATAGAACCACCGAAGTAGTTGACCAACTTTTTCTTACTTTCTTTGACTTTAAAACAACCATAATATAAAACTAACCATAAATAAAATGAAAATATAATAAAAATTTACACTGGGATCCCAAAATAAAATATTTACATTTCAAAATAATACAGACCCCTTTTCTAAATTTACAACTCAACTGGACAACAATGTTTACAAATATAACTGCCCTTTTTCAAAAGCTGAGATATACTCTGATTTGCACTGTTTTGATTTGGAACTTGGTCTACCTATTGCTCCTCACCTGCTGGATCTACTAATCTGCCCATAATACATTCAAAGGATGAACTAACTAGCTCAGCGCCGCACTAATAGCTAAAACATACTAATTGTATATCATTAAAAGGTTTAAACTATCAAGTCTACTAATCTGATATGCTTTGAGAGTATACTCTTATACTCACTCTCTACACTATAGTAGACATCATGGTGAGGAAAGGTATTACTATATCTCGAAGCTCACACACCACTCTAGTCTACCGAGGATATGGCCCCTGGAATTTTGCATCAGACACCATACCCCTGACTAACCCACCCCTTGCGAGTGTCAGGCCTCGGCCTTAGTTAATCAGTTTTAAGGGCCTCACGCCCTCTCTAAGGATATATCCGGACTGCATCTATACTTTTGATTCCACTAGCTTCTAAAGGAACTCGAGTGTCTGAATTGTTTCCCGAGCATCAGACAATGCTAGTTTTATGCCACCCTAATTATCTGGTTTCTACGTTTGATTTAAAGATTAATATCGTTCCACTTGTAGTATTATTTGATGATATAATGAAGTGTTGGGTACCTCGTGTCTAAATCCTTAAAAAACTGATATTTTTGCCCAAAACAGACTGAAAGTATCGATACTAGTCCAAGAGTATTGATATTCCTATAAAAGTTTTGATACTTTATATAAGTACCGATACTTTTAAGCATTCTAGACTACCTGGTTTTGATACTTTCTAGGAATTTCAAAACTAAGACGCAAAGTTTCTAAACTCTTGAAAGAGTTTCGATACTCCTACCCAGAAAACATGATTTTACCCAGAAATGAAGAACAAGTATCGATATTAACCCTATAGTATCGATACTCTACTTGCAGAAGTCATAAAACAAGCATGAAAAACTCTATTTTTCAATCCCAAAGATCCTAGTGAGGTCCCCAACCATTATGAAAGTCTTATGTGATATTAAGGGAGCATAAATAAGGTTTAGAAACATGCTAAAAACATTAAACATAAAATCTACTATGGAAAGCTACTAAACATATTTTATCTCAACTTTATAGCTAAAACTCCTTTCTAATGATTATATAACTGATATGGAAAAGCTAATAGTGTGTTATCTGATTGCCTTGGCTGCTAAAATACCTCTTGAATCGACTATGATTCACATTCTCCTTATTTCTAGCCTTTTGAGCTTTCTCCAACTTCTTTAACTAATTAAAGGGAAGAAAAGGGGTTTACTAACTTATCTAAGGATTAAAATAAGGTTAAGGGCACTCTAATTAACTCAAATTTACTAGAAACAAGCTTAAATCTCTAAATCTCTTCTATTTCTTTAAAAGCTCGTTTTTGAAAAACTAAGCCAAACCTTGAAATTAATGGCTCTAATGGAAGCTTAGATGATGAAAAATAGATTTCTTACCTTGATTGCTTCAATCTAGGCTTAGGTTTCCTTAGAGCTTGATCTTTACTAGAGAGAAGGAAGGAAGAAGAAGAATCTGGAGAAGAAGAAAATGAAGAGATATTTTTGAGAATGCCTCACGTGAGATACTATGAGAGATGGGGGTTTTAACCTTTAAAACAAGCTTTGGGTAAACTACACTTTTAGTCTTTTTTCTTTATAACTTAAATTAAAAACATCACTTTCCTTGACTTTTGGGCCAACCTTAAGCCTAATACCTTCCTAAATCACTAGTAGAAAAAACCCCTTTAATAACGCGCATTGCGCGTCATCTATGGGTGCGGATGACACACATTTTCCTGTCGTTGAAGCCACCGACATGAATTTAAGATGACGCACAACTGTGTGTCATAAATTTATGACGCACACGACACACATTTGTGTTTCATAAATTTATGACACGCGTTTATGACTTACATTGCGTGTCATTGAAGCACACATCATTATAAAAGATGACACATATTCGTGTGTCGTGATTATATGTCGTAAATTATATATATATATATATATATTATAGATTGACAAATAATCAAACTAAATCACATTTAATGCCTCATAATACTAAATATATATATCATATTATATATAAGCAATCCATTTGCATATAATATATTAACATTAAATTATCAAAAATATTGTAATCATATGTCGATACAAAATATCACGGCATAATAAAGTTTTCCACATAAGATACCCATTCTTTGTGAATATCAAACATGTCGACGTTGCGGGAGATGCAACTCCTCTAGCTTCTTCTGCAATTTTAAAGTTACTTTTTCAGAGTCGAGAACTCTTGAAACAGGCTGCGAATGAGCATTGGCTTCAACTGAACTAGTAGGAACATCAGATGCACCAGCTGTTCCCAAACCCTTCCCAAAATTAGAGCTGATCACCTTTGGTTTCCACTCCTTATTTGAACCAACTGCTGATGACATATAGGAATTAATACTTTTCATATATTAATCAATCATCAACTATCTTCAGTTGAGAACATAAAGTATTCCAAACATTTGTAAAGAGCAAACATTTTCATTTATGATTATCAAGTCATCACTCATCACTAAGTAATATGAAAAGAACGAAAAATCAAGTAAATTTTTGTTAAAGGTATCTTAAGCTTTAAAAGCTTTACTTTTCATTTCTCACAGTTACACTGTTATTTAAGGGGATACTTATTTACAAATGGGTAATTCACCCATCCTTCTCGGTTATAAAGATGATTTTCATTGAAACTTGCAACAAACGTTCTATTGAATTCTTTTTTGCTCAGAGGAAAAGGTGATTGATAACCATTTACCAAAATTAGTTATAGATTCCAATGATTATAAGGAGTAACATAGTGGGTCTGAACTCTGAACATCCTTAATCAATCAAACAAAGGAAGGCATTCAACT